TCATACCCAGGATGGCAGAAACTTAAAGCAAAGAGCATAAAATGTTAACGATATTTTTAAAAGTCACTCATTTTTTTTCTTTTTTAGTCACAAGCAACACAATCTTGGGGATAAAAATAATAAGTTTTAATTTTTTTAAACATACAAATACATACACACATGCTACTCATTTTTCCGACAGGAAATAAAACTGTATCCTCCATGGAATCATCCTTAACCCTGGTGTGCTATGACTGTTCAGCCACACAAAATTTCTTGAACATTCAGGCTGGTAAATGTAGTTAATTAAAAGAATATAGCATTTACTCAAAATAAATGTATCTATAAAAAATAACTTATAAATAGAAAATATATTAAATACTAGCAGTAGAGCCCGGTGTTGCCCGGGGATGTAACAATAAGAGATAGATCAAGTCTCGACCATCATAATAAAATTGACAAAGATTATTGTTTATGGTTGACAGACAAGCATGTCTTAATTATTTTTTTTTGTTTTTTTTTTTTTTCACGAATTGGTCAAAACCAAACTCAAACAAAAACATTGTTTTCAATCGTTATGAGTCTATCGATTGAATAGAATTTTATTATAAACAATTGTTTTGCAAATGGAATTTTTAAAGCATTCTGAATGTAAAACTAAAGAAAAAAGTGTGCAAGACAATAAGAAATACTACCTGCCAAAAAAAAGTGAAGTTTGTTGAAATCGGTTGAAACATGTAGGAAATCCGATCCCATATATAAATGAACACACACACACACACACACAAACAACCTGTCCCCCTTTCTTTCTCGTGATAGCGATGCCTCTTATCGCGTTTTCAAATTGATTTTGTACAAAAACAATTGTGTTTTATCAATTTTTGGCACTGTCAGAACTACCGCAAGGTAATTTTACATAATCCTGTGAAGTTTAGTTGAAATCGGTTGAAAAATATAGGAAATCCGATCCAATATATAAACGAACAGACACACACACACACACAACCTGGGTTTTATAATAAGTATGATTTATCAGATTTAATCCATTTCCTGTTATATGTAGTAATTGTTTACATTTGGATACAAAATCAGAAGAGATATGACAGATTGAGAAAGATTGGCGAACATGTGTATTTATAAGCAGTAATTTGAGCTTTGCTTACTCAGAAGTTCCCTGTGGCTGAACAGTCATAGCACACCAGGCTCAATGGTGTATCCGTATAGGATAAAGGTTCAATTCTTGTCAGGGGACGCATATTTTCTACAAAATTTCTCAAACATTCAGGCCAGTAAATGTAATAAATACTGTTTAATTAAAAGAACAGAGCATTTACACAAAATAAGTGTATCCATAAAAAAAAAATAGTCTATATACAGAAAATATATTAAATATACTAGATGTAACAGTAAAATTGTCCAAATCATGTAACAGCATAATTGTCCACCCCACAAAATGTTTAATCTCTGAAAAAACTACTAAACTAATTGAGTTTCTTTTTTCCAAGTTTTTGGATAATACATTTAGCCATCGTGACACCATTTATCATAAGAATCACTGAAAAACCCTTTGAGTTATTCAGCTAGAAAGAGAACAGGTTAAAATCATTTTGTGTCAGCCCCATAATGTCTTCCCAACTGAGCAATGGTGAGAGGAAAAAGATCATTCAGGCCTTCAGTAATGGTACCAACATTCATACCCTGGCTTCCATCTTCAAAGTCCATTCAAGAACCATCAAGAGAATGGTGAATAAGTTTAAAAAGAAGGGAACAGTAGAGAAGAAAAAGGAGGTCACAACAGCAAGAGGTATCATCATTTCAACTTAGAGCTAAAGAGATCAATTAGAAAAGATCCAACTCAATCCATAAGATGTTTGGCATGTGGGAGAGGAGTTTCAGCTGTGACAGTCCAAAGAGCAATGAAAAAAGACTTAAAAATCAAATTGTACATGAAACGTGTGAGGTACCTTGTTTCTCCAGGACAGAAAATTATAAGGTTAGAGAGGGCGAAGATTATCTTGAATAAGTTGGAAAATGATCCTGGAATAATATATATATATATATATATATATATATTTGAACTTTATTTCAATCCTTCATGAGCTTCTGATCCTTAGCTATGATTAAGTAATGATGAAATCGATCATAAATGAAAATGACATGTTAATTAATTAATGATGAACAAGTCATTTTTGTTTATGATCAGTTTCATCATTATTCTTCTGTTAAGCTTGAAGAGTAATTATGCATTCTTATTGCTCAAATTAGAGTCCAGTAGTGTTATAAAAATCTTGGAGAACTCCAGTAAGATATCTTTAATCATTTCAAGGATACAATTGTACTCTAACAAATGGACAATTTTGCTTTTATACCCGGTGTAACTATAAATATATATATATATATATATATGAAGATGATGAGACAAAGTGGAAAATTTATAATGTGTTTTGCCAAGAGTGTCTGTTCTCTTTGGCTTCCCCAGGTTAAAATGAAATCAAGACAAAACTGTAAGAGAAGAAAAATGCCTTGGGATCTCTGAGGATATATCTGTTTTCAGCAATGTCTCATCATTTTACAGTTGAAATGACTCGCTTTAACTGTAAGTTCTATGCTAATAGTTTCTTCTATTGCACTTCTTGCTTGTGGAACTCTCTTGCAGCTTCTTGTTTCGCAGTCAATTTTGATCTTCAAAAATTCAAAGTCAGTGTCAATTGTTATCTTCTATCTTCTTAGTGCTTGTTCTTTTATTGTTCTCTCTCCTTAATAGTAGTTTTTCTCATATTCTCTAGCACTCAGTAACCCTTTGCATCCTAGTGGCTTTATTGCCTTGTTTGTGGTGAAATTATTTTAAAAAAAGCTTAAAATTAAACTTAATTTTTTTATCCTAAAATCTTGTTTGTAATCAAGAAAAATTGCCAAGGTGAATTCACATTGCTATTCAAATCACCAAATTTATAATTCAATTTGGATCCCCACCTGATGTTCAAAATCCTTAATAGACCCAGAAATCCCAGACAATCCTGGCTTACAGCCATATCATGTTGAAACACCTGTTCTCATGCAATCACCAAAGTTAAGAAATGTTGAGTCTATTTCGTGCCAATATGGCTGATTGCTTGTGAATGCCAGGTGCTGTAAGGTTGGATGTGCAGGTGGTGTAATCGATAACTGTTTTGAATTGGAAATCGGATAGCTGAGTTCCAATTCCAGTCAGGTATGTTATAGTCACTTATGGACAAATACCCCTGGAAAAGGTATGAACCTACCTCTTCTCCCCCAGCTACTGGTTAATTAGTAGGACTTGTATCACTAAATCATTATTATGTCCAAAAACTTATAATCTAAAAGTATTTTCTGGCTTTAAATAACTTGTGAAAAGTTGAAAATTATTATAAAATTATTTATACTATTTACAGTGTTCAGACTGTTGTCCCCATCTTTATTGCCATATTCACAATGTTTCGACTGTTGTATGCTCTGGTTTTCTTCAGGTGATATATGTTGGAATTTCAAACTGAACCCTTTATTTAGTCCATAGGGGTAAATTGTTCTAGTTCCATGTGCCATGCTTCTACTGGATATCTCATTTTCAGTTATCTCCCTTTAATAACTCAACTCTCCAAGTTTTTGTTCACCTTTGTTGTAGCCAAGGACACATGGTCCAGTGGATAAAAAAAAGCATTGGTTGAAGCAATTTGACGTGACCCAAAGTTGTGAGTTCAATATCTGGCTACAGCAGAGGTGAACAAAAAACTGGAAGAGTTGAGTTACTAAAGAGAAATAACTGACACTGAGATAACCAGAAGAGGCATGGCATGTAGAACAAGAACAGTCTACCCCGGTGGATGAAATAAAGAGTTCAGTTCGAAATTCCAATGTATATCACCTGAAGAATGCCAGAGCAAGCAATAGCCGAAACATTGTGAATATGACAATAAAGATGAGTTCGAACAATGTAAATAGTGTAAATAGTTACAATGCCTCATCTCAGAAATATAGACAGATGTTAAAGGTTGATAAGCTGGAAAAAATACAAATCAGTCACTCAAAAAGCTAGATAATCTGTTTTTCTGAACATTCTTCAAACCAACATAACCGAAGTGATTTTATCAGAATGTAGATTAAGAGAAGCAGTGTACGAGACGAAAGCGTCAATGTCGTTCGTTGATGCATGCCAGTGTCTTGTGATACAGTGCGTAGAAAGTAAGTTGATACGATGGAGGAGCCTCAAGCAAGAGGCAAGTGCAGGAAGAATGGAATTGCGACAGTTCATTTGAGATTTACGTGACAATGGAGATTGCAGGGTGGGGATGTAGGTGGGGACAGAGGCAGGGTTATGAAGGTTAGAGTGAACACATGGAGACGGGGCTGAGACATGAACAGACCACAATAGATGGTTTTGAGTAGATATGAGATTGATAGATACAAGTGGACCAAGATAGATGGACAGATATGGAGAAGCATCAAGTGGGAGGCAACTGCAGGAAGAATTGCAACAGTTCATTTCAGATTTACATGACAATGGAGATTGCTGGGTGATGGAGTGGGTGGCTGGTGGCTAGGTCATATAAAGATCAGGAGAAACAGATGGAAACAGACTGATACACTGACTACAGAGATAGATAATAAGCAGACTGAAATAGATAGGTCTGCTCATTATTTACCTGTCTATCTATGCCAGTCTGCTCATTATCTATCTATCTATCTATCTATCTATCTATCTATCTATGTCATCTATTCATTATCTATTTATGTCAGTTCTGCTTATTATCTATTTATCTCATCTTGCTCATTATCTATCTATCTATTTATCTATCTATGTCAGTCTGTTCTTCACCTAATTCTATTCAATGTCAGTTTCCTCCATTATCTATCTATCTATCTATCTCATTTATCTATCTAGTCTGATCAGATGACATCTATCAGTCTGCTCATTATCTGTAGATAGATTTATCTCAGTGAGATAGATATTAGATATCTAGATAGATAGATAGATAATGAATCTGAAATAGATCTAGATCTATCTATCTAGATAGATAGATGTTAACAGTCTGAGATAGATAGATAGATGATAGATAATGTTCTTCATAGTTAAAAATTATGTTAGATAAGTTAACAGTTTGAGATAGATAGATAGATAGATAGATAGATGGATAACTTATTTGAAATAGATAAATGTGAACAGTCTGATAGACTGACATAGAGAGAGATTGATAAAAACAGATGGATAATGAATGATAGATAGATAGATAGAACAGACTGAGATAGAGATAGATAGATAGATAGTTAACATACTGAATAGATAAATAGAAAGAAACAGACTTAGATAGATAGATAGATAGATAGATAGATAGACAGACTGAGATAGATTGATAGATAGATAGATAGATAGATAATGAATGGACTGAAATAGATAGACAGTTAACAGACTCAGATAGATAGATAGATAGATAGTTAACAGATTGAGATAGATAGATAGATAGATAGATAGATAGATAGATAATGAATGGACTGAAATAGATAGATAGTTAAAAGAGATAGATAGATAGTTAACAGATTGAGATAGATAGATAGATAGATAGATAGATAATGAATGGACTGAAATAGATAGATAGTTAAAAGACTCAGATAGATAGATAGTTAACAGATTGAGATAGATAGATAGATAGATAGATAGATAGATAATGAATGGACTGAAATAGATAGATAGTTAAAAGACTCAGATAGATAGATAGTTAACAGATTGAGATAGATAGATAGATAGATAGATAGATGGATAATGAATAGACTGAAATAGATAAATAGTTAACAGAGATAGATAGTTAACAGACTGAGATAGATAAATAGATAGATGGATAATGAATAGACTGAGATAGATAGATAGTTAACAGACTGAGATAAAAAGTCCCAAAATTTGAGATAGATAGAAAGATTTTGTTAACAATAATTATTTGAGATAGACAGACTTTAAAATTTTAACAGAATGAGATAAATAAATAGTTAACAGACTGAAGATATTTTAATAGATAGTTAACAGACTGAAAGATAGATAGATCAATATTAAGTCTATTTTAATTAAGACTGAGATAGATAGATAGATAGTTAACAGATAAGGCATATTTCTTAAGAGTATTAGATAGATAGATATGATAGTTAACAGACTGAGATCTTTTCTTTAACAGGCTTAGATAGATAGATAGATGGTTATGACAGACTTAGATAGATAGATTAATTAAAAGACTTTTTTTTTTTAATAGATAGTAGTTAATCCCACCCAGGATGGGTTGATGATAGATGGATCTTATAGATAGATGAATAGCAGAAAAACAGACTAGTCAATCAGAATCGAAGAGACATAATCGGTTAACAGAATTAGATAGATAGATAGAAAGAAATAACAGTCTGAGAAATAGAACCAGATAGATGAATAATGAATGGACTGAGATAGATAGAGTCATGAATAATGAATTGATTGCCAAATAGATAGATATATAGACTTTACTGGCTTTAGATAGATGAATAATGAATGGACTCAAGATAGATGGGATATAGAACAGACTGTGGTTAGATAAATTTTCAGACGAAACCTTGGGCGGGAAAAAAGTCCCAAAATTTGAGATTTTAGCATGGTACTTCTAGATTTTGACCAACAAGTAATTATTTGATTCTTGTTAATACATTACTTTAAAATTTTACACAAGTTAATCTATTAAATAAATAGAATCAAACTGAATTTTTATTTTAATGCACTTGCTTTAGTTTCTGTTGGAAAAAACAAATAAATCAATCATTAAGTCTATTTACTAATTAATGATGGCGATCATTTCTATTCATTATTACAATACAATTTCCTTTATCTGGTTTAGATATCATAATATCTTCATTATTTTCCAATTTCTTTTCTTCAAGAAAGAAATATTTTTTAAAAATCTTCTGCCTAGTCAGTCATGAATCAAATTTGATGGTTGAAATGAAGAAATAAAATTATGTACTAGATAGATTAATCAGCTGAAAATGTAGCTTTTTTTCCACTTTAGAGTCAGTAAGCTAATCCCACCCAGCGATGGGTTGACTGATAGGATAGACTGGATCTTATAGCCTTGGCTGGCAACCAGTCTATTGCAAAGAAAAAAACCTGCCTAGAAAATCTTCTGCCTAGAATCATGAATCAAAAGAGACATAATCGCCCAAGTGTGTATCACGTGATGGCACTTTTTACTGGCTTTATCTTCTTCTTCCCTGGCTATGATTTGAATAACAGGACAAAAAGAAATGGCCTTTGGATTGAAGAAGTCTACCGCAGAAAGAAATGGCAACCTACTGCAGGAAAATCTTCTGCTTAGTCAGTCATGAATTGAAAGAAACTTGATTGCCAAATCATGTAACATATATAGCACTTTACTGGCTTTATATCTTCTTCCCTTGGCTATAATTTGAATATCAAGACAGAATGGGTTCTATAGCTGTAGCATCCTGTCTTAGTGGTTGGCAACAAGTCTACTGCAGAAAGAGACGGAAACCTACTGCGGGAAAATCTTCTGCCTACTCAGTCATGAATCAAAAGAGACATGATTGCCCAAGTGTGTATCACGTGATGGCACTTTATTGGCTTTATCTCTTCTTCCCTTGGCTATGATTTGAATAACAGGACAGAATGGGTCCTATAGCCTTGGTTGGCAACAAGTCTACCGCAGAAAGAAATGGCAACCTATATGGGAAAAATCTTCTGCCTAGTCAGTCATGAATCAAAAGAGACATGATCGCCCAAGTTTGTATCACGTGATGGCACTTTACTGGCTTTATCTCTTCTTCCGTCGGCTATGATTTGAATCACAGGACAGAATGGGTCCTATAGCCTTGGATGGCAAGAAGTCTACCGCAGAAAGAAATGGCAACCTACTGTGGGAAAATCTTCTGCCTAGTCAGTCATGAATCAAAAGAGACATGATCGCCCAAATGTGTATCACGTGATGGCACTTTACTGGCTTTATATCTTCTTCCGTCAGCTATGATTTTAATAACAGGACAGAATCAGTCCTATAGCTTTTGGTTGGCAAACAAGTCTACTTTACAGAAAGAAATGGCAACCTACTGCTGGAAAATCTTCTGCCTACTCAGTCATGAATCAAAAGAGACATGATTGCCCAAGTGTGTATCACGTGATGGCACTTTACTGGCTTTATCTCTTCTTCCGTCAGCTATGATTTGAATAACAGGACAGAATGGGTCCTATAGCCTTGGATGGCAACAAGTCTACTGCAGAAAGAAATGGCAACATACTGCGGGAAAATCTTCTGCCTAGTCAGTCATGAATTAAAAGAGACATGATCGCCCAAGTGTGTATCACGTGATGGCACTTACTGGCTTTATCTCTTCTTCCGTCAGCTATGATTTGAATAACAGGACAGAATGGGTCCTATAGCCTTGGTTGGCAACAAGTCTAAGAAAGAAATGGCAACCTACTGCGGGAAAATCTTCTGCCTAGTCAGTCATGAATCAAAAGAGACATGATCGCCAAAGTGTGTATATAACGTGATGGCACTTTACTGGCTTTATCTCTTCTTCCCTCGGCTATGATTTTAATAACAGGACAGAATGGGTCCTATAGCCTTGGTTGGCAACAAGTCTACCGCAGAAAGAAATGGCAACCTACTGCGGGAAAATCTTCTGCCTAGTCAGTCATGAATCAAAAGAGACATGATCGCCCAAGTGTGTATCACGTGATGGCACTTTACTGGCTTTATCTCTTCTTCCCTCGGCTATGATTTTAATAACAGGACAGAATGGGTCCTATAGCCTTGGTTGGCAACAAGTCTACCGCAGAAGGATATGGCAACCTACTGCAGAAAAATCTTCTGCCTAGTCAGTCATGAATCAAAAGAGACATGATTGCCCAAGTGTGTATCACGTGATGGCACTTTACTGGCTTTATCTCTTCTTCCGTCGGCTATGATTTTAATAACAGGACAGAATCGGTCCTATAGCCTTGGTTGGCAACAAGTCTACCGCAGAAAGAAATGGCAACCTACTGCAGAAAAATCTTCTGCCTAGTCAGTCATGAATCAAAAGAGACATGATCGCCCAAGTGTGTATCATGTGATGGCACTTTACTGGCTTTATCTCTTCTTCCGTCGGCTATGATTTGAATAACAGGACAGAATGGGTCCTATAGCCTTGATTGGCAAGTAGTCTACTGCAGAAAGAAATGGCAACCTGCTGCAGGTAAAATCTTCTGCCTAGTCAGTCATGAATCAAAAGGAGACATGATCACCCAAGTGTGTATCACGTGATGGCACTTTACTGGCTTTATCTCTTCTTCCGTGGGCTATGATTTGAATAACAGGACAGAATGGGTCCTATAGCCTTGGATGGCAACCGCAGAAAGAAATGGCAAGTCTGGAAAAAATCTTCTGCCTAGTCAGTCATGAATAAAAGAGGCAACCTAACTGTGTATTGATGGCAAAATATCTTCTTCCTCGCCTATGATTTTAATAACAGGACAGAATGGGTCCTATAGAATCAAAAGAGACAGAAAAAATGGCAACCTACTGCGGGAAAATCTTCTGCCTAGTCAGTCATGAATCAGAAAGAGACATGGCCCAAGTGTTTCACGTGATGGCACTTTACTGGCTTTATCTTCTTCCGTCAGCTATGATTTTAATAACAGGACAGAATGGGTCCTATAGCTTTGGTTGGCAACAAGTCTACTGCAGAAAGAAATGGCAACCTACTGCTGGGAAAATCTTCTGCCTAGTCAGTCATGAATCAAAAGAGACATGATTGCCCAAGTGTGTATCACGTGATGGCACTTTACTGGCTTTATCTCTTCTTCCGAATAACAGGACAGAATGGGTCCTATGATTTTTAATAACAGGACAGAATAGGGTCCTATAGCCTAGTTTGGCAAACAAGTCTACCGCAGAAAGAAATGGCAACCTACAAAGAAGTCTACCGCAGAAAAAAAAATCTTCTGCCTAGTCAGTCATGAATCAAAAGAGACATGATCGCCCAAGTGTGTATCATGTGATGGCACTTTACTGGCTTTTTTATCTCTTCTTCCTCAGCTATGATTTTAATAACAGGACAGAATGGGTCCTATAGCCTTGATTGGCAACAAAGTCTACTGCAGAAAGAAATGGCAACCTACTGCTGGTAAAATCTTCTGCCTAGTCAGTCATGAATCAAAGGAGACATTATCGCCCAAGTGTGTATCACGTGATGGCACTTTACTGGCTTTATATCTTCTTCCGTCAGCTATGATTTTAATAACAGGACAGAATCGGTCCTATAGCCTTGGTTGGCAACAAGTCTACCGCAGAAAGAAATGGCAACCTACTGCGGGAAAATCTTCTGCCTAGTCAGTCATGAATCAAAAGAGACATGATCGCCCAAGTGTGTATCACGTGATGGCACTTTACTGGCTTTATCTTTTCTTCCGTCGGCTATGATTTGAATAACAGGACAGAATGGGTCCTATAGCCTTGGATGGCAAGAAGTCTACCGCAGAAAGAAATGGCAACCTACTGCAGGAAAATCTTCTGCCTAGTCAGTCATGAATCAAAAGAGACATGATCGCCCAAGTGTGTATCACGTGATGGCACTTTACTGGCTTTATCTCTTCTTCCGTCGGCTATGATTTGAATAACAGGACAGAATGGGTCCTATAGCCTTGGTTGGCAACAAGTCTACCGCAGAAAGAAATGGCAACCTACTGCGGGAAAATCTTCTGCCTAGTCAGTCATGAATCAAAAGAGACATGATTGCCCAAGTGTGTATCACGTGATGGCACTTTACTGGCTTTATCTCTTCTTCCGTCGGCTATGATTTTAATAACAGGACAGAATCGGTCCTATAGCCTTGGTTGGCAACAAGTCTACCGCAGAAAGATATGGCAACCTGCTGCAGGTAAAATCTTCTGCCTAGTCAGTCATGAATCAAAGGAGACATGATCGCCCAAGTGTGTATCATGTGATGGCACATTACTGGCTTTATCTCTTCTTCCGTCGGCTATGATTTGAATAACAGGACAGAATGGGTCCTATAGCCTTGATTGGCAACAAGTCTACTGCAGAAAGAAATGGCAACCTGCTGCAGGTAAAATCTTCTGCCTAGTCAGTC